TAGAGGAGTTTAGGTGGAGGATTGGTTCCAGTAAGAAAACTTCAACGTTCTCAGACAAAATTTATGTTAGTTTAGTTTCCTAAGTCTTCTTCACTTATATATTTACTTTTACCGCAATTGCTACAACACTTATTTTCCGCAATTCCAAAAAAAATATTTAGCAAACTTTCTTCTATATTAAAACCCTTCCCTTTTCATTGAAAAGTTTATTTTTCCTTCTTTTCCCTCATTTTCATAGAACTTTTTCCTGGTACTATTGTTATTTTTTGAGACTAAGAATTAAGAAAAAAACTCCTCAAAAATTAAAAAGTATGAGGAACAAAAACGTCATTGATAAAATGCTCAATAATTCTCAAAATTAGCGCAATATTCCAGTAAATAAACAAACAGTAGTTCAAAATACAAAAATGAACTACAACGAATGATAACAGTAGAAAAAAATTGTATGAAAACAAAAATTAATGTCATCCTTTCCTTCAATTTTTTTCTAGATTAGTCAATATTGGTTCTGCAAAAGGAGGTAAACTCTCATCAACTATAACCATTTTTGCTCTATAATATTACCCTTCTCAGTCCTTTATTTCGTACAAACTCTGTAAATAACCACTCAAATACTGTTGTTCCCCGGACATCACCTGTTAAACTGATTAGAACTGTCAGCAGATATTAAAACCGCACTTCACTGCCTATATCAATTGGTGCTATTATATATGGCAGAAAAGCTTCAACAATTTTCTGTAAACTATTAATCACTTAATAAGAATTAAATAACGAGCAGATATTCTTACTCTGTTGGATCGAAAAGTTGTGAGGCCTGAACGGTCGAGGCTAAGAAGGGGAACAGATGAGCATCACGCTGCTCGCAAACATAATTCAGACGACTGCTGTTCATGGCATCTGCAAACGAAAGAAACAACAAATAAACAATAATTTGCATATATAAATAATTGTATCTGTGTATATATAAATCAGACAAATTTTAGTATCCATATTTTTTTTTTTTAACTGGACATATATGATAGTTGACAACACACAGATCCTCCATTTACCTCCTCCTCTTCAAACAACATTAATAACAGTAACAGAGGTATAATAGAGAAAAACAGTTCTGAACGATTTACAGTAGATAATATTTTTTTTCTTTGGATCATCGTAAACAGTCCTAAAATTTGTCGGCAGAGCAGCAGCAAATCAGTGAAAAAAAAAAAGTTAATTTTTCTATCACCCAATAAAAGTGACAACATAACAACTTCAGATAAAGAAGAGAAAATGACGTCACCATTATTGAAGAAGCAAACAAAAAGTTTCTTTTTTTCACCCAATTTTTCAACAACAAAAAGAAGAAAAAAAAAGGAACACAAATAAAATACCCAAATACCTATACACACGTATTCTGTCAAATTTTTAGCGATAAATAGAAAACTAAAAAATAGTCTCCTTGCTCAAAAAAAAAAAAAAAAAAAAAAAAATTTTTTTTTTTTT